TTTTTTTTTTTTTTTTTTTTTTGGCTAGGACCTCCTCTAGTCCTTGCACGGCCGGGCCGCCCGGGAAAATAGGGTGTCCCGGGTGGCCTGGCTGGTAGTCTAGAAAAAAGCTTGAAAAGTCGACATTCGATCAAATGTTCTCGAGGGGGGGGGTGGGCGGGTCCAAACGTTCGATTTTCAGGTTTGGACGTTCGGCCCCAGTCGAACTCGGGCTACGGTAATTATGATAACTTAGGTGGTGGATGAAGGAATGGAACGAACCCCCGAATGTCCCCCGAATGTTACAACATCCAACCCTGATTATTAATGATTCATTATTACTATTATTGTTCTCTCTCTCTTATTCTCTCTCTCGCCCGCTCGTTCTCTGAGGCAATATACATCCAGAAGTGACTTATTTGACATTATTTAAAAATACAGTGTTGTTTTTTAATTTCTACTGATGAGCTGATTAGATGGCAAGTTGGCAAAAAATATGTTTAAGGGAAAGAGTGCATTCCTCCAACCAATCTATGTTGTCTGTAAGAATTGGATACTCAACCTACGTTTGATAAAATAATAGTCGTTGAAGTTACGATTGGATATTATTCTTTATTTAACCACCGAACTACATCTTTGTATTATATATTTTCTATCTTCATTGGATTTTGTGGTCGTTCGTTTGTCGTTGTATATAACCATAGTATTAGTTGGTTTGATTATGTGTTGGATTCGTTTGCTTCTTGTCCCTTTTGGAATCCGTGTTTGCACATCTGGTGGGGCTTCAATCTAGGTGATGATATCCAATGAGGAGTGAATGCCCCTCCTATGTTTATTGCTTGTGTCATCCTTCCATGCACTTTGCTTTGGCGCTATACTGTCGGAATCCGACGTTGGTGCTTCACGAGGTTGATTACTTTTTGCCGTATTTCGCTTGTGATTTGCCTATTAAATTCCTTCGAACATACGTCAAAACAGTTCATGGCTTAAATCAACATAAGAATTTCATTGTGTTGAGGGTTTAGCCTCGTAATGAGTCAGTGCACGTCCAATGAAACAATTTGTCATCTCCATTTGTTTTATTATTTTTTTTCTCCTAGTTTTATCATCGTTGTACTTCTACTTTATGCCTTTTACTTCGTTGATTTGTATTGCTTGCCTCCCGCCCACCTACCCCATAGCATCCACTCTCTGTGTCGTGCAACCGCTTGTTGTCCAATGCCTTGTTGCTTCATCGTTGTTCACCTGACTATGTTTGGCCTTTGTGGCCTTCACATGCCATTCCATGAGAATCTGCAATGATCGCAGGAGAACTTACAGCATTGGTTACTATGCCAACAATCATGACTCTGCCATCAATGCTTCCCGTTCTCCCCCTCTCTTCCCTTCTTCGCTATGTCGGTTGTTATTTTTCAAGGTAGTCTTTATCTATCTTGCCACTTCTTTTTCAAGGCACTCTTTATGCTACCTGTTCTTTTTTTTTTCCTTTTTTTTTTAATAACATCGATGGTGGGGTGTACAGGAGGTGCCGTTCTTTTTCAAGGTATTATCTATACAGCTTTGATTTTCTCTGCAGGCATTGTTGGTTTGTGATGTTAGCCAATCCTACAGATGGAGAGTGAAGTGTAAACAGTAGGCGAGTGGATCTATGAGGAGGTTCCCGTGTTCTCGGGTTGCTAGAACTATTGAAAATATCAACACACACACACACACACACACACACACACACACACACAGGCGGGGAAATGTTTGTTTTTCCATCATTTTCTTCTTCCTTCAACTTCTTTTAATCACAACCAATCAATCACCTAATCAATCAAACATCTACCAACCAATCAATCAATCAATCAAACATCAATTGATCAATAAGTCAGTCAATCAATCAAACATCAATTGATCAATAAGTCAATCAATCAATCAAACATCAACCAATCAACCAACCAACCAACCAACCAACTAGTCAACTAATCTACTTTTTTGTTGTTATTTTTTCGGGCCCCGTGTTCTCGGGTTGCTATGGCTATTTAAAATATCACCACACACACACACACACACACACACACACACACACACACACACGCGCGCGCGCGCGCGCACACGCGTCACATGCTCACGCAGACACATACAAGCATACACGTGGGCAGATGTACCCATATTTGTTTTTCCATCGACTTTTTTTCCCCCCTGCAACTTCTTGTCTCCATCAACTTTCTTTACTCACAATTGATCAAACATCAATTGATCAATCGATCAATCAATCAATTAACCAGCCAATTAATCAATTACTCAATTGATCAACCTTTTTTGAAGTTTTTTTTTTTTTCTCGTTTTTTCATGTTCCTTCCCCCGTGCTCACAACTGGTTAACAGATACCCCTACTTTTCAGCCCCAGGTTGACCCCCCCAACCCTGAAGCAGAACGTTCTGTAAGTTGAAGAAGGCTGTTTGTGAAAACAGCTGGAGATATCAGAAGTCAGAATGCTGACACGAGTAACAAAAAATCAGGTGAAAAACATGATCGCCGAAAGTTCAAAAAGTGCATAACCCTGAAAACCCCTGAAAATTTAAAGCTATGTTAACCATCTCTCGCCACTTGGCCTTTTCTAGGGAGTCCCGTCTTGATCGGGCCGGTCATGATGGGGCCAATCCCTGGTTATGGGGATACATAGTATTAGGGTTGCGAGAGAGTTGAAAGGACCCCATATTCGTGCATATAAGACAAAATAGTCTGCGTACTACGGGTATAAGGGAGAGTAGGAGGGGGGGATGCTACCAGTGGAGATTCTAAAGTGGATGGTATACGTGGCAGCTTGCTAGGTGGGGACGGGAGTACGACGCAAGAGGTGTTGGGAGGAAAGGACGAGCAGTAACAAGAAGGGGCTGGTACAGGACCTTCCGGCTCCGAGGTAGTGAAAACTCCTACATTAGGCTGTGACCGCCTGAAACGAGAGGACACACGATAGAGGAAAAGAGGGAACACAAATCTCCACTACGGCGGCGTCCCCCCAACGCAGTCGAGGAATAAGAAAAAAACAGCGCTTGCTTTGTTGGCTTCTTGCCTGTGAGCACAGTCCCTTGTCTTGCTGCCACTTACCTAGTTGCCACATGCTCACTTACAATTGGGTGTGAGTGAAACTCAAATAAACAATATGGATGAGGATTACATATCACAGTACAAAAACACTGCTCGGGTGTAAACATAACCACACTACAAACTTGAACCTTCTACCTCATATTGCTCAGTCTGAGTGAGGGCTAGCGCCCTCGATGCTTAAATACCTTTTGCGTCATGCTCACTGAGCGAAAAAAAAAACATGCGGTGGTACCGATTATCGTACCACCTAATCTGTCTGGAAAAACATGTCCCCACAGGGATCAGGCTCTCTACCAGCTCTTCAGCTCCATAAACAGGTTACAAACTACGAAACTGTTTAAGCGCGCTTAAGCACAAGTGCGTGCGGTTATGTGCGCGCTTAAAGACCCCCATGTCGTGCTCAAACACGCTCAAAGCACTTTAAGGGGCACACACAGTCAAAAAAAGAGCGCGCATGCGCCATGGGGTTGCGCGAAGGCAGGGGACGACATGGGGCCATTCGCGCGCACGCAAAAAAAAAAGATGGTCGGGGTGATTTTTTTGGGGGGGGGGGACGGGGGGTCACGGGATGGGGTTGGTGGGGTGGTGCTGGTGGGGACCGTTGGGTTGGTGGGGTTGGTGGTGTTGGTGGGGTTCGTAAAGTG